CAAAATGAAGCTGAGGACTTTGTGAAAAAATGCGAAGTTGTTTGCTGTTCTAATTGTATGGGTTTGGAGATGTTTTTGGCTTGGATTAATAACAGGCAGGAAGCGCGAGGAAACGCAGCGAATATGGACGCGTACGCGGAAGGTGACGGCGGAGGAAGCGCGGATATGGAGGTGAAAATGGTGAAGGTGATGGCGCGAGGAAGGTGACGGCGCATGGGTGTGAATATGGAGGTGATGAAAGGTGACGGGAGGAAACGCATGATGTATATGACAAGTTGGTGTCGTACTTAAGCGGAGCGCGCGCTGTGCATGTATGAAGGTGTCGAAGGTGTTCATATTGCCTAAGACGCGTACGTGCACATGTCATGTCGCATAGGAAGCGTAGGTATGGTTGTGCAAGTCGTAAATGGCCACTTTGGTGGTTTAACATTGTTTCCAGGCCGCGTATGCGCAAATATGGGGTGCGGCGGCTATCTGCACTGCTGTGTATGAAGGTGTCGGTCTGTGTGGGGTTCCTATCGGAGAGAATACGTATGCTGCGTTTGTAGGAGTGAGCTGCTGGGCCACACGTTTGTATTGGAAGTGCGCCACACCACCCCCCTTTTTGTTTGGTTACTAATATAAAGTGGTAGCCATCCACTCAGCCAATTCTGAGGGCCAGGAGGGGTATTGGGGGCCATCGTGTGCAGTCTATGGCCACGTATGTGACATGTGAGTGTGTAAATGTGTTGTACCAATGTATACGAGTGATAAACACTAATAGGTGTGTCGGTCAAAGTCAAATGACAGACGGCCATCTTAGGCTGAAAGCACCATATCCCGTCTGCTCTGTGAAGTTAAGCAGCCTCAAGCTCGGGTAGTACTCGGGTGGGTGACCACCGGGGAAGTCCGGCGTGCTAGTGTACTTTTTAGCCCGTTTTGAGCTGTTTACCGACTTTGCGTGTGTTTGCAAACGCAAGATATGATGTCTGCCATGTGCCCACACGACATCTTGGTTTTAGTATGCCTGGCGAGCCACTACACACGAGATCTTGTTTTTTGTATGGTGTCTTAATTTGATTATTATGAAGATGAAAGAGAACCGTTAGAACGGGTATGAAGGGTGTTCTAGGGGTGCTTTTCGGTGCTCTTTCACGTGGACATATCGCAGCATGCGACATGTCAGCGGAACACTGTCTAAATTAATAAATACTGTTTTGGCCGATTTCTAAAAGCGTCTATAAAAGGGCATAAGTGCAATGACTCGTCTTTGTAACCCTGCGGCCTAGGCGTAGTTTTTCACGGGGAATCCGAATATCAAAGGTAGATTTATGTACAACATGTACTTTTTTTGCAACATGTACTTTTTATCTACGGGACATAGACATATGTAAAAACACACGGCGGAGCCGTTCCCGCAATCAGAATTTGTCTAACTCTTCTAGATCAAAAGTTATTCAGCGAAATGTGAGACTTTGTTTGGCATGCTCTTTTTTTAGGTGGTTTTTTCCGGTTTTATGTGCCGCCCGGCAGATCTGGCCTGCAGACTTTAGCAGAAAACTTGGCGCATGTGTTCGCACGACCGCTCCCAAAGTTTTACAAGCATATCTCCAGTAGTTGCTTCGCAATGATTTTTTTAGTGACGCCAAAAAACGCCATTTTCGCGGAAAATGGACACCTTGGACGGCCAAAATCACCACTTTTGGCCATGTTTGGCCCTGCACATCCAGGAAGCAAATGAGACTGCTCCGTATAAAAACTGCCCTAGGGGTGCTTTTATGCGCGCATTCCCGTGGTCAAGTCAGATTTTGGCTAAATTCAAATGCCTTGTCTATAAACACTTTTTTCGACCTAAATTTTCACCTGTTTTGTCCCGAAATGATAGCACCCATTCTTTATTTGCCTATATATCGCGAAGGAGGCAACTTTTTTCCTGTTAAGTATAGATAAAAAATTTAATTCGGCGTTTTAGCGCACGAGGAACAAAAGTCTCCATACAAGCTACCCTCGGTTTCTAATGACTTTTTGAGTTAGGGAAGCGTGGATCTTCTTTTTTTCTTGTTTCCAGGACTTCACATGAACTTCCAACTCAACTCGAATTGTCATCCCGGGCCCACCACGCATCGAAACGACACTTTTCTCGGAACTGGCGAATAAAAAATAGGTCACCAGATGCGCAAGAGTCTGGGATGACAGAATATCAAAACAATAACAGAATCGTTAGTACTTTTTTTGTCACCAGCGCCCTTTTTCTGTTTTCGCGTACATAATCGAGCATAACTTTATCAATTTATACCATATCGACCGATATCGATTGTCACGATAGTGTACTTTTTTTAGGCGCACATGATGGTAAAAAGAACGGCCACCTATTCCCAGCCGTTCTTAAGTTATGCTCTTTTAAAGATTTTACTTTAGAGATGACACACCCTCTCATTTCACTCCATTACATGCTCTTTTTGCTGAATTACGTGGCACAGACGCAGAAAATCATGGTTCGCAAGTCGAACATTTTTGAAGAGCGCATCGAAACGGACATTTTCTTAAAATAACATGGTATACAAAAAGTGCGTTCTTGAGCCTGTAGCAAACGATTTGCATCCATGACATCCCAAAAACTTAAAATAACATATCTCGACTCCTAGAATGAAATCGACGTGAATCCTTAGGGCAGTTAGTGTGTTTTAGTATCATACTTAACACCACAAAGTTTTACGGGGCACTCTACAATACTCTTCCCAAGACGCAAGAAAATGTTCATTTTGGGGGGTCCTCTAACGCGAACTTAATGATAAAATACCGCACTTAGTCCATAAAATACGAACTTAGGCACTATTCGCACTTAGTAAAATAACTTCTCGCACTTAGAACGGGTAATTTATGTAAATTACTTTATGGGTGACTGCTGAGTTCTAACAAAACTGAAAGATACTGACTAGCTGCTGGCGCGGCGGTTACTTTTCCAGCTATAAATAGATGTTAAACGAGTAGTCTGTAACTGTCAGCAGTAATCAATTCCCGTCAATCTGCTGTAGATTAACGGGAATTTTTGTTAAGACGACGTAAACAAAAGCGAGTATCTTTCTTGTGACGGTTTCCTAGTATATGTGAGGTGACAAGTCGGTTACTGAGTGTAATTTTGGAAATGGCGTGTGGGTTTCTAAGATTATAGTTGGTTTTTGAGGCGTTACTTTGCTGTTTAGGGTGATTTCTCGGTCTTATTTTAGGATAAGATTGAGTGAACTCTGGCGATTTATGGTTTTTTAGATGTGTCTTTGTAGGAATAGTTCTGCTGTTTCTAAGACGTGTCTTTAAGACATTCCTTTAAAAATCGTGCGTTATTATTGCTTTGGGGAAACTTAGAGCCGGTTATCTTCGTGCGTGCAGAAATTGAGGTTGTACTCGTCATGCTCTGCATAAGAATACAGCTTTATTTGACGCATTTTATGCGTTGCTCTGGGTATTTTTGCGCTGAAGCCGATTGTGGAATTGCTGACGAAGTGTGTGCTTTCGGGATAGTGACCCTGGACTGTGTGTGCTTGGATGCGAGGAAGCGTTTGCTGACGTTGCGAGGTGCTACATCAACGCTCTGTCGGTGCCGGTGCGAAGGTGTGTTGCGGTTGGTTGTATAGTGTTTTGTGCAGTTTTCGGATTGTGTGTCATTATGCGATACCTTCTGTGGTGCGTTTTGCGCTGGATTTTTCCGGTGGAAAGTTCAATTTCG